ATTTATTAAACGGCTTAATTCTCTAAAATATCGCATCATCCTTGGAAACAAGTACGTTGTTGATTAGTTGCAAACTGTCAAATTAGCTTTGTGAGCATTATAATAGAAACGTGTGTGAAAATGATTTTCTCTAAAGAAGAAATGGTGTATATGGTGTTCGTTTTGGGCGAAGCAACGGTACCCCTAATATGCGACATCCAAGGCCGGAAACATTTTCCACACTACGAGAACGTTTTAAATCAAGTGGAGCAGTGGAATATAGTAAAAAATGTAGAAATAATCTAAGGGTCACCAATGAGGCGAATCAGTTGGAGGTTCTATTAAAGTTGCAGGAAAATCCCCATTTAAGTGCACGGCAAATTGAAGCAGAAACTGATATATGCAGACCTTCTGTCCGAAGGATTATTCACAAGCATAGGTACCATCAATATCACCTATACTTGCATCAAGGCCTCCGTCCTCAGGATTTTGCAGCTCGAATGGAGTTTAGTAGAATAATGCTAAATAAACTGAGTCAAGATACTACTTTCCTGGATCAGGTTCTTTTTAGCGATGAGGCAACTTTTAACACCATAGGTGTTTTCAACAGGCATAACATGCACTATTATACGACGGAAACCCTTACTGGGTTAGGCAAATAGATTTCCAAAATAAATGGAGCTGGAATATTTGGGGAGAAGTTATAGGCAGACAAGTTATCGGGCCTTCCTTTTTCGACAACAGATTAACAGGTACACAATACTTGAATTTTTTGATCGAGCATTTGCCTTTGCTTTTGGAGGATGTCAACCTGCAAACTCGGATGCATATGTACTTCCAACAAGACAGCGCACCTGCGTATTATCATAATCATGTGCGTAACTATTTGGACACCTGGAGTAACAATCGTTGGATCGGTCGTGATGGGCCTTCTAGGTCACTAGATATGACACCGATGGACTTCTTTCTATGGGGCTACGTTACGCAGAGGTTTATAGATATCCACCATCTACCCCGGAAAATATGAAGGAAATGATTAAGGATGCTTTTCTTAACAGGGGGGGGGGAGGGATGTGCAACGGTCATTTATCCAAAGACTATGGCTGTGTATTCAATATGGTGGAGATATTTTCGAGCAGTTTTTGTAGTTTAGGTTGTTGTTGTTGTGATACTGTTCTGATTGTTGTTAGTTTTTACGTCAAGTCTGTACTCTTAGTGGCAATATGGAACTAGCATACTGTTTGTCTTTTGTTTCCATGGATGATGTGATTTTTTTCCTTAATTTTGGTGTGTTCTATTAAATGCTTAGTAACTTAAAATCCAGTGATTTTATTTGAATCAAACCTCATACCAAAAAAAAGCTTATCTGAATCCAAACTTGGGCAAATATACATGGTGATGAATTTGAAATTTTTTACAGAAAGTACAATTCGCGTTTTTGACCACCCTGAATGAGTAAAGAATTACAGGCTGCAGTTGTGGCGGGGGTGTGTGAGGGTAGGTGAGGGTGTATAGCAATGTTTTGATGTTAATATATCAATACACTTGCAACACCGATAATTCCACACATTATGGCTTTTTCCGTACATTTGCCCTTAAATCTTAGAATGAAGAGAAATGTTTTCGATTCGCGCCTCTGATTCTCTTCTCTGAGTTTACCGGCGAGCGTCCCAGTATTATTAAGTGTCCTGCCATTACTGCTGTTGTGCCCTGCTGCCGCGTCTGACACGTCGTGCGGTCAGGTATCGGGAAGAGGTGACGTTACCCGATAGACGTTAGAGCAGGGAAAGGATGTTTTTGAACTGATTGTATAGGCCTGTTTGACTGACTTGATGCGTTTAATTTCTTTGGAATACATCGTAAATATTTTTTTCAGTGGGTCTAGCTTGTACTGAACTAATGACGGAGTTGCGTGGAAAATACAGTCAACCTACTTGACGCCATTTTTAAGTAATCTTAGTAAAAAAAACCTTTTTCCCTTTTTGCCTTAAATTACACAAAACTCATTCAAATCATTCAAAAAAAATCCCTTTAGTCAAAGGTCCCTTTTGAATAATTTGAACATATAAGATTCTCTAAACTTTGCTGTAAAGATGATAGTTTTCGAGATATAAGCGATTTTGTACTTGAAAAGAAGCAAATTATGCTTCGACCGTGAAAAACAATATGAAAGAATGAAAATTTTAATGTTGCCAAAGTTCCTGAATTTTCTTCGAAAATCCGTGAAGAAAATTTCGTAGCATTTTAGAGAGTAGTGTTATTGTAAGCCTTTGTTTTTAATCGCTAATCTAGCATTTTGATGAATTATTACACCTCTAAAAAAGACTTCTTTAAAATATGTCACTAAGCTATACACTTCTTGTTAAATCTGCCATCTCGTTTTCCCAAATTTTTTAAAGATTCGCGGCACGTCATGAAACAATAAATCATCTCAAATTTCACGTCCAGCATGTAACTTGTTAATTTTAAATAATACTTCCTAGGGATCAGGGATATGTTCACGACATCAAGCCATGTAATTGGGAAGTTTCCTATAGTCGAAAATACTGCTAGTTTGACTTGCATTATAATAGTATAACTAATATCCCTGCTGGTATCTTTAATAAATAAGAAAGAATTATTCTGATAATCTAAAGTTTAAGCAATTTATGACATTTTCTGTGTTGACTGGTTCGTGATGACAAACGACGTAATAATTTTATGCTTTGGCACGAATTAACATTTATAAAAAGCCCACAGGCAATCGACTCTACGGAATTTTACAAAAAAAAAACATTTTCCATAACGCTGATAACGAAGATGATATAACGGGTGTATCAATAAGAACGCAATATTTGAATTACGCGCCATTTTGGCAGTCATAATGTCATAATAATTGTGACATGACAGATCGATGGTAGAGAGGGGAGCTTATGACAATGTATCATTACATGATAGAACAGCGCATCCCAATTGTTAAAGATTATTACCACAGTGGTCGATTCGATTCGTCATCGCGTTCAAGAATTGGACATTAAAACAACCACTCTCGGCTCTCCAGCATATTCCAACGAAAGATTTACAATTGCATGCCTACAAAGTCCATTTGGCTCAACAGCTTATGACAATAGACCATGCGCAGCAATTTTGCACGAGTTTGCTCCTGGTCGAGTCATCTCCCGGTTTGGTGACCAGAATTGCCCGCCACGCTCTTACGATTTAACACCTTTAACCTTTTGGCTTTGGGGTTACCTGAAGTTACAAGTTTATGCCTACAAGTGTGCAACCACCGAAGCATTGGAAGCTGAAATCAGACGCTGTATCAACGAGATAGGACATCTGTTCAAAAATTTTATCACAAATTTTATAAAAAAAGGTCCGAATATGCCAGCGGAGCCCTGGCAGAAATTTATCTGACGTGTTGTTTCATACATAATTCATACAAAACTAGTTGTGAACAGCAATGTTTTCCAAATCTGAAATATTACTTGTATTCGGTTTTGAGTGTTACAAAATAAGAAGAACTAGTTTTGCTCATTTCAAAGTATGCAAAACTAATTAAGTTGCCTTTCTTATGTGCAGTTTTCTTCAATTGACAGGTTTCACACAATTTTAGGTATATTTTAATAACTTCTCTAGTAATCTTTGCATATTTTTTCTTAACTCTTCTTCCAATCCTGAAACAAAGTACACATTTGCACGTAATAACAAAAAAATTATCATGCTAAACAAATCTTTATCACGTTTATGACCTGTAGCCAGATGTGCCTGGTGAGTGATCGGAAGCCGTTCATCAATCGGAATCTTCTTATTATATCAAAGCGCTTAATTCTTCTATACTGTTTAGCAGATAGAGATTTCGATTTGGCTTTTAACAAATTTGCCTCCTTAATTTCAGTTAATGTGGCAAAGTAATGATCTTTTGACATAAGGCTATGTTTTTGGGTTCCTGAGGCCTCCAATACGAGTAGATGAACTACTTGATAGTCAAATTCACTTTGCATGTTTATGTAAATATTTAGCAACAATAATGATTAAAACATCCACAACTCACAAGCACCAACAAATAATTTTCCAAACAAAAGTAATATTTCGGATTTGGGAAAACATTGTTGCTGGCAACTAGTTTTTTACATTTTTTTCGGGTAATGTCCCAATTCGAGTGTTGATCGTAACATATACACCATAATCCAATAAATATTTCAGTTGTTTGTTACGAAATACCATGTTTTCTAGAACCTTGGATTATTGCATACTTATTGAAATACCCTTTACGTTTGTAGAAGATCAAAATGGCAGATTTAATGTGGTGTATATGTGCAAAAAATATTTTGATCGCACTCAGAATCAAGGTTCAACTGTTTTTAAGATTGCTAACAATGAGTTAAATATCGATATTTCTTTAAAAATATATATGGAGGATCCAGTACGACGACTATGATTGCCGAAAGATTGTCGATTGCTCTCAAATTACAGTTTTATACGTTTTCAAGATATAATTTATGTATTATTGTATAATGTCGCATAATTGCCAAAATTGACATATTTCTTAGCTGGGTATCTAATAAACATGCTACTGTTCGAAATAGAGCATTATTTAACTCTTTTTGAAACATACTTCTTTGTAGCAGCGTTGGTAGCTGGTGTCATCTAACATCATCACCCATTCTCGCGCTCCAGCAAGATATTCTTCCAAATAAGAAACTGCTGGGTAGAGTAAATTTTTCCATTTTTTTAGATATTCAAATTGTTTTCAGTACTGTACAGCGTTTTACTTAGGCTATGGTTTTAAGTGCGTTTCAAGAAATAGGGAACTTCCTCACTCTGTGTTCCAGCAGAATAGTTTGAAACTAGTGGTGAACTGTAATTAACTCAGGTATGCACAGGAAAATAGTTCTAAACTAGTTCGAAACTGTTTGTTTCCAAGGCAAACTTTTTTTCAATACCATGATGCAAGACACTCGTAAATAATCTTCAAACTCAAATGCTACTAGGGTTGAACTACCTAGTATAAATATCTTCATAATCACGCACAATGCACAACTTACTTGCAGTAGTAGAGCCTTCCGGTCTCCTGCTGAACATGCGCGGTCCACCCAGGCGCAGGAGCGTAGTCGAGCACATGCGCACCGTGGCCATGATGCTGCTGATCCAGTGCGGCAACACTGGATGGAGGCAGCGCGGCGGCGTCAGGACAGTCTTGACCGGGGGCGGCAGAAGCATTCGGGGCGGCCACTGACGATGCTTTGGGGGTGGGTGACTCCCTCGCCATGCGCGGCGATCGCAGCAGCATGCCAGTGGCTCGGGTAGCCGTTTGTGATGGTCACTGTGACGTCACAAACGCTACACTGAAACAAAATGGAGAAATTAATAAACCGTGGAATTTTCAAAATTCAAGAAGTCCACCACTAAAAGTAAGCATACCAATAAGTATTTCCACGAATGTATACTGACCTAGAGTGAAGAACACCCAGTAATAATGATAATTGCAACATTTGCACTTCATAATGCAATTCATGCAGTTTGGCGGCGACAACTCCAGATGAATGTGCTGGTGCGTCATCTTGGTGAAGCAGCACTTTCTTTCTCATCAAATGTGGCCGTGTCTCCTCCAATTTTTTGTCGAAGCAGTATAATAGCTCACTATAGTATTGTCCAGTGATCGTTTTTCCTTTTTCTAAAAAATCCCCGATGATGACGCTCTTCGCATACCAAAACATCATCGCGATGACCTTTCCGGCCCTTCGGATTTCGCTTAAATCGCTCCAAACATTGCTTCGAAGTTAACAGCCGCATCCAATTGTTGTCCACCGTGAGCAGTCGCGGCACCCATCGGGCCGACAATTTTTTCATAGCCAACTTATCATGTAAAATATTGATTGTCATTCTGGTCGACACACCTACGGCCTCTGCTACGAGTACTTCGCGCACTTTCGTTCGTCGAACAGCGAAAATCATGTCGTGGAGTTTTTGAATGATTTCCTCGGTAACCACGTCTGCCGGGCGTCCTGGTCGATCCTCATCGAAAACGGATGTTCGTCCATGTTTAAATTCGTTGAACCAATATCTAACTGTGGTCATAGATGGCGAAGTGCCCACATAAACAGCATCCAACATTGCTTTTAACTCCTCGAATTTTTTCCATCCAAAAACAAAAAGCGAATTACCGAACGATACTGCTCTTTTTCCATCTTAGCGAAAATCACGAAACACGTGTTACTCGAATGGCTGCCAAATCCAAACTAACCTATCAATTATTCGTCCCCTGATAGATGGCAGCACACGATGATAACATTAACCGGTCTCGTATTCTCATTGTAAACTGCCAACACTATTCCAACAAAGCAGTTTCACACAAGGCCACTATCTTCTCACTCTAAGCATAATGAACATATCAATGCAGATCTTCACAATGACCAAATACCAATTGTAGCTACAAGACACAACTATCGTTTAGTCACTTTTTTGGACAGACGATATAACAAACTGTATCTAAATAGGTGAAACGCTGATAGTTTTTCGTCCTGGCCTAAACATATCTTTGCAATAAATTCATTATTACTGAGCATTCTTTTATCTGTTACTTAGTATATATCCCGCTTGTGTCATTTAGAAACCTGGGATTTTAATTATGGATAATTTGACGAAGGAAAAATGCATCAGATTTGTTTAAAGAATAAAAAACCTTTTTACATGTTCACGGCAAGTGTTACCACAAATATATAGCGATATTATAGTGAGGAAAATTTTGGAATTATCAAAGACACGTTTTTCTGAAAGTAGTGAGATTTATCGCGCTGGCATGCGAGATCATACGACCGAACCCCGTTTGACATTTGTTATTAGAACTATTCAACGACAAAAGCTCTCTTCGTACAGCTGTCACCAGCCTGTCAATGATCGTATCCAAGATCCCGCCACACAAATTTTGTCCATTCTGGTACTTCGAAGTTGAGTAATTTATTTTAACAGTGAGTAGATCTGATCAAAAGAAATGTTTTTTCCTTTAACATTTTTCTGGTAAAATTAAAGTAACAAAGTTATAGCCCTTTAGAACTTTGAGTACCGCCCTGTCTCAATAATAATATTATGTGCTCGTGTTTGGCAACAGCGGATATAATCCGCCTTATCGGTTCATCGCATCGGAAACAAAAAAGCGAAAGAATTTGAAACGCTTATCACGATGTTTTTACTACAATTTTATTCAGGTGTATACAGCCAATGTGTCAGTCGGTAACGCGTGAGTGAATAGTGGTGTTTGTTGTGTGGCTCAAACGAAATAAAAAATGGCAAATGTTTACGAAAATGCTGAACTTGTGGACATGATTCTTATCTACGGGGGGGGAGTCTTTACAAAATGTTCCCGCGGCATCACGGATTTATGCGGATCGGTTTCCCAATCGAGTGCAACCAACCCCTCGTGCCTTTGTTAATGTAGTACAAAGGGCTCGTGAATCAGGTGACTTAAGACCTCACAGGGGAGGTCATGCCGGTGCTCCAAGACCGCACGATCAAATACAGGTCCGCACTGAAATACTTGTCGGGAGGCTACTTTATAAAACAAGGTAACCTTTTTTTTTTTACACACATATTTTGGTTTATCTTCCTTCTACAATCATTATCTGAAAATTAATGACTCAACTTCAAAGTCACCCTGCATAGACGGATTTCACACGGCCCCAGACACGGTCACCGACAAGTCACCGACCACTGTACGAACAAACTTTAAGTCAATCCAAGCAATCAGCAGACGAATAATCACCAAGTAAAACGGTTAAGTTATATATAAGAAACAGTTGACGGCATTCGAGGAATATTCATTGAACATAACATCTACATTTCTACATTCCAAAATATAAACAAGCTATGGATTTTTTCTAAATTGTTGGTTTCATTTAAAGACAAAATCCTGACGAACCCACTGGGGCACCCAGAAGTATTCTTATATCAGAACCACTTATCGGATTTATTGTTTTAACAACACCAATTGGCGAGGAGAACTGCAATTGCAAAAAGTTTGAAATAGTGATATTACCTTTTTTTAATGTTACATAGCCAAGGATGAAAATGCTTTGTAGATTCTAAAAATTGCTCCGGTAGAGACAAAATTATGTGCGACATATTAAAGGTTGCAGAACGCTCCCAAACTTCGTTTTTCAACTTTCATCACTTTTGGACGCAGTAAAGAAGAATTATTTTGAGATCCGATTTTTTTATAGTGGATACCAAATAAAACCCGATGCACGTCATCGATCTGGAGCTGTGCGCTGTTGCCAGAATTTGCACATTTTCTTTTAAGCAAATAAATTTAATAAAATAAATTGTTTATATATACCTACCATTTACTATAATACCATTATATTAAAAATAAATAAACTTGTTGTAAAATTAAATTCCTTTCTGAATAAAAACAGCTGATTTCGGTAGATATTCAATGATATGAGCTCTTTATACCGATTGTTAAGTTGTTTTGGCATTTTGGATACTTTACACCACTTCACAGTAACTGTTGTTCTGAAAAGAACAATTTTTAATTGGCAAGGCAACGATTCAAAGCTCAAATAGCGCAAAACTCGCAAACTAAACAATAAAGAACTAATAGTAGACAGTCTACGACAAAAGGACAATGGCAACTGATGTCAACAAATGAGAAGTGGCAACCTCACATTTCTCTACACGGCACTACCAACCGAATCGAGACGGGGAAATTTAAACTTCAAGTAGAAATGTCACATTGAATGTAGTCAACTGTTGGTAACCATGATTTTTATGAATGACATCACCTATGACGTGCATCGGATTTTATTTGGTATCCACTATATTAGATTTGAGACATTTTGAAACTAGGCAATTACTCGCTTTGTAGTAATGATGCGTAGTTTTTCTCTATCTAGAAACCCTTCTACTTCAACATTTCGTGAATATGTCATTTTGGTTCACCATAGTGTTGTGTCGAAGGTACTGAACCAATTTAAGAAATTACTGGACAAATATAAGTAGTATGTAGTTATTTTTTCCGCACAATATTTTGAATATTATGAGCAAACTTGCGTCAAAGATATGATGCTGTTAGCAATCATCAATAGCGGTCATGTTGATATTTATATTCACACAAACATTTTTGCATAACATAAAGCACCAATAGCCTTCAACTCTTAATTAATTCTAGTCAATTTGAATATTTCGTAAACATATGTAATTCCCCACCTACGTTATGGAGGGAACCACCTCGATCAAAGTTGCCATGAACATCAACAAGATACGATAGTAAAGTAAAATTAGCAGTATACACGTTGATTAAGTCGAGAATTTAGGCCAGCTATAAGAGAAAATAGTTTTTTACTTCCAACGCCATTATTGTAATCGCGGAGATTTTCTAAAATGCCCGCTAACCCTTGGAACGTCCCGCTCGGAGTTTGACGAAATTTTCTCACAACGTTACTACTATAACAAGGACGAAAAAGTTGTGGAGTTGTTGGAAATCGAACCAGTGGCATCGGATGTGATGCAGAAAAACGAAAAATAAGCGGTTCAATCACCATGAGCTACTGTAATGTTTCAAAAGTACGCGAACATCCCGAAAACTTTGTAACCATGCATTTTTTGGAAAAAAAGATCCAGGGAAAAGTTTCAGCTTATCAGAAAAACAATTTGCTAATGGCCTCAGATATGACCTAGACAATGACCTCAGAGGTCATTTGAGGTTCAACTTAAATAGACACTCGATAACTATGATTTTTTTGAAATAAAGCTCAGAGATCAAAAATGAATGTTATGGCATGATCTGCACTCTGACTATACGAGATAAAATGAAGTGAGTGATTGCCAAGCTTTCGTGTACTTTTCAGACGTTACAGTGGGTCACACTGATTATACCACTTATGACCACCTGACCTCATCTGTAAAATAGGATTTTGATGTAAAATCTCGAGCTCTATACGAATCTGCTGTCAAAAATGGTGGCTGCTATTTGAATTTCAGAAGTTGGTCTCCAAATGACGTTTGAGTTCATTGTCTAGAGCAAACAGGTATTTGAGGTCATCGTCAAATTACTTTGTTGATACCCTGGAACTTTTCGTAAGACCTTTTTCAGAAAATGCGTGGTTACCAAGTTGTCGGGGAGTTCGTGTATTTAATAGTTAGCCGTATCTTCGTGGAATTGTTTGCCATGCTTATCACTTACAGATTGGAGGAAATTAATTTTTAGAGATATATTGCACCCAAGGTCATGATACCCTTGTATGTGTCCTTTCACCAACTGTTGCTAGTTGTTATCTTTTCGGTTGCCTAGAAATCCTCGCATCACACATTTAATTTTAATCTTAGCCCTAAAAGTACCTATTTTGATGGAATTTTCTTGTGGCCGAGTAGAATAAAGAACTTTGTGGTTTTAGAAATCTGGTCGTATCGTCTTAGGTATCGTACAAAAAGTAAAAGCGGCGAATACGATGTTTTGACACAAGATTACTACCACGTCAACTCCAAAAAGGTTTTATATAGGTTTTGAAAATCGATTCAGTGCTGGCGGAGTCATAAGGGAAAAAGGAAAAACTTTCTAAAGTTTCCAAGGTTAGTTTTTCATATTTTTGTAGTTTCTGATCATTTTTACTTCCCACGCCTTATGGCGAGGAAGTATTGTAATCGCGAAAAAAAATCGATTTTGAGGTGTAATGTAATATTTTTTGGATGTTATACATATAACATGTAAAATCATGTCACCCATTTCAGTCGGTCTGTATGTCTACCTGTC